AGGAAACAGCAGTGATCCAAAGGTTAATAGGCCTGGCCATAGCCATCCCATCAGGGCCCAGACCAGAGACCCTTTCTGCTATACAGATAAAACAAGCCATCACTCCAAGAAACGACAAATCCTCTATAACATGACTTGTAAGGAAAGAAAGGAAGGTGCAGTCAAGAAAGACAGGAGTCAACCAGTCTAAACCCTCAAGCCCAGTAAACATCAAAGCATCAGGAACATATTCAGTAGAGTTCTAACCAACACTCACACACTCTTGTAAGGCAAGATTTACAGGTCTGCAGTTCTATGAAGAATGTGCATGTGTGCCTCGCCAGAAGCACTGCTGTTTAAATGGTTCACAACAGGAAGAGAATGCTTCAGACACACACATCAACAAGTGTGGGTCCCTCCACAAACGGAAAGCTCGTTTGTGCCAATTATTATATACTACATAGGGAGGGCAAATCTTTGTGCTCTCAAGACAAGGCAGCTTGCTCAGTTGTAGTAAAGGAGAAAAGAAAAAGTATGCCACATAGCCAAAACCATAAAGCCAACTTCTGTTTCATAAGACTACTATTTATTATTCATCCTCTGAAAAACTAAAGAATGTGAAAGTACACTAAGTCACACCTGGAGAAGTCGTGCCAAAGTGGCATGCCACAGCTTGATGGAAGCCTTACAAAATAGAACTGAAATCACTCATGTTAATCTAAATCACCCATGTTAGGGTTGAGTACTTTCTATATTCCCCAAGAAGTGAACTTTTACAACCCCACTTTATCTAATAAAACTTTCCCAACAAGATCTCATAGACCATACACTTAAAATATACCCTCATTCATAAGTACCCTTCTTGCTGTTTACGTGCGTGTACTTGCATGTTAGCACACAAAAATATATCAATGTATCTGTCTATTTTAGATTTTAAATCCTGGTATACCCTAATTTATTTTACACTCTCCCAGAATCTAACCACAAGCTTCAGGAGTTTACAGTAATAAGCTCTATTTACTACTGACATTAACTCGCTTTCAAGAGAAATTCATAGAAAGCTATGCTTTTAAATAAGAGCCTTTCAAAGGAAAGATCATGATTCACCTTAAGATAACTTATGTATATATTTACCATTATTGTGTACAGAGCACCCAAGACATCACCCAAACCATCTGACTGCTTATTACCAGAAACAACAGGGGAAGCACTAGCAGAATCTCCTGAAGTAGTTATTAAAAACCATTCAAAGCTCTCATGTTCATGCTTAGTAGCAGAATCCTAAACTATCAACATAGCACAAAATTTCTGGCTATCTTGATTTCAAATATAGCTTCATATTATTGTTTTGCTACCTTTTATTTATTTATTTGGTACTAGGGATAGAACTCATGACCTTGCTCTTACCAGGCAAGCACTTGAGCCACTGAGCTAAATCCCCAGACCTAACTTCCTATTACTTTTGAAGATTTACTTTTAAACAAAAGCACCACCTCATTATAAAACTATTTCATAGCTGCCAAGATACTAAAGTTGTTGGAATCTATTTTCTTTTGTATTTTGAGACAGGGTCTCACCGTGCAGCCCAGGCTGGCCTTGACTCGGTGAGCTTCTGCCTCAGCCTCCAGAGTTCTGGGACTACAAGTGTGCACCATAATTGGCGGAATCCATTTTCCAGGGCAGAGAGGCCTACATTAGAATTTATGGGTTTACCATGCACTTGGGAAACCTATCACGTTTCTCCTTCAAGGCAATACTTCCAAAGAGAAGACAAACGTGTAAGCACCAGCTGTTGGCTCGGATGTTCTTGGGGAGATTAGGAAAATGACCACAACAAAAACTAGAAGCAAGCGCTCCTGAGGGCAGATGCTGGTTCATACCAGGCACTCAGCTTATAGACATCAAGCCAACTCACCAGTGATGGTCAAAAAACTCTTATTTATATAAAAAGCAAACCCCAGAATTTTGTATTTTACAGAAAATGCCCCAGAAACCAGCAAGCATTTTAAGAAGAAAAGGCAGCATTATCTGACACCCTCAGGCTCATGGCCAAGCCTTGCCATCACGGTATATCTTCCCGAGAGCTCCACAGGCACAGAACTATCTAGAAGGACTGTAAGGCCATTCCTTTTTGCAGGGCTCTGTCTTGGCCTTGGTGGAAAATCAGCCAAAGTAAAAAAAGCACCTACTTTACTAAGTCATGTATTAGACAAAAATGAGAAAATGGAACAAGTGTTTTATTTGCTGAATTTTGATGACCAAATCAGCTGCATCAGAAATCATTTTATAACTGAGAACAAAAGGAGACAAGTAATTCTGCGATCATCTAGAATTATCAAGGCAAAAAATCACTTTTATACATAGTCCTTCATGCTGCAGAGAGAAAAACAGAAGAGCAAAAGATGTGACACAGCCAGATGTGGTGGCACAGACACATGTAATCCCTGCACTGGGGAGGCCAAGGCAGGAGGATTGTTGCGAGTTTGAGACCAGGCTGAGCTACAAAGCGAGCTCAAAGCCAGCCTGAACTGCATAGTGAGACCGTCTCAAAGACAAAAAAGAATACAGCAGCCTACGCAATGACTTTATTTCCAGAGGCTATCATGGTACTTAGTTTGCACTAATGTCACCTCCCCCAAAACAAATTATTATTTAAGAGTAAGCCACACAGACAATGACAGCAAAGGAAAGAAAGGTCCGCAAGACTCCCCTAAAGGCCAATACTTAACCCAAAGATGCTACTTCCCTATACCCCCCTCAACCCTCCCACCGCTACCCTGGAGATTGAATCCAGGGGTATGCTACCACTGAGACATGCCCCTGGGTTCTTTTTACTTTTTATTTTGAGACACTTAAATTAAAAGGCTGGGCTTCTAATCTGTTATCTTCCTGGGGCTAGAGGTGTGTGCCATCGTGCTCAGCTCAAAATTATAATTTTTAAAGTGACTTATTCTAGTCTAATTCCCGTAAGGCTAAAAAATAAAATACCACCAAAACTAACAAGTATTAAATGTAAGCCATTTAATGCACGTGAAAACCAAGTCACAGGAGTCAGTTTAGAAACTGCATACAGGGCTCCCTTAAATGGTTATGTGAAACTCACGTTTCCCATGGTCTGTAAAACTAAGACGAGTTCACAGAACCTTTTGTGGATGTAGAAGTTGAAGGGAACTGTCTGAACTCAGTGGCAAGATTAGCCATTCAAAGTTTATTTTGGGCTTCTTAATTGGTGTGTTCCACTTCTTTGAAGAAAAGAATGTCTTAAATTATCCTTCAGTTTATAAAAGGGGAAATAAAACCTCTTAACTCCAAAACAGATCATGATGCTCCAGTGCCTGATCTCAGTTAACACACTGGAGCTGGCTTCTCAGCTGGTCATTCTAACACTCACCAGGACACAGTCAAATTTCTAAACGCTGCTTGCTATTGAAGAAGGAATAAATGAAATGCAACTGACACTTAGTCCAAACTCCTACCCTAAACTCAAGTCAAGTATAGTTAGTTAAGTGTGTTGTCTGCCATTTAACAGAAATTTTCTGCATAGAAATAAAAGTAGAAATGCTTAATTATTTTCACTATCCAGCATTATTTAGTATCACTGAAGAAATTTTCAATTTTATGAAAAGAATCACCTTCAACAAGAAAGTATATTTAGAAACATGAATCAAATTTGTTCTCCAAAGGCATACATCTCTCTACTTTCAGAGAAAGAGGTTTCTGTTGTGCAGTATCACATTAACGCAGGCACTAAAGTAAAACTCTGACATTAAAACAAGCCAGGCATGAGCAGCTCTGACAGAAAACTACAACAGACTAGAAGTTTTCCTAAGGGAAAAACATCAAAATATAATGGGCAACAATATTTTGACAGAAAATCCACTTTCCTATGACCACTCTCAGAATTTCACAACCCATTATGATGAAATGTATCCCTAACATGCATTTGGGTCTGCTTCCCACACTGTTTTTAGGCAGAGTGGAAACAGCTGTAATGTGACTGGTATCTGCATCATTACCAGTACTCAGTACTCATCATCAGAGCACAGGCCCCACATTCATTTTCTTCCTAAGAACTAGAAAATAATTGTTGCTAGACCAGTGATTGAAAACCTTTTGGAGCTTTCAAATAACAACAAACAGCTGGCTGTGGCACACATGCTGTAGCTACCACTGCTCTAGACTCATAGGTTTAAAAATAAAGTCATTTCCACCATTCTGAGGTCTGCTATCAAGTGCAAATTTTGACTTGCACCATGAATGAACAGTCAGCGTGTCTACTCCTTTTATTCCAAGTACGGAGCAGCTTCTGAAGATGAAGTAAGGAGAAAAGCGGACTCGGAAGCTTTCTAAAGTTGAGGGGTACGTACAGAACTACTTTAGTCAAGACTTTTTTTCTGCCACTTGCTACTAAATGCTATGCTATTGTCCAGAATCGGAATCTTTTGTAATATTTTCTTGTGCTCTCATACGTTTAGTACTCAAAAAGCCTTAGGCCTGCTGCCTTCATAAAAAAACTATCTTTATCTTACAAGTGTCTACTCATTTAAAAATGTGTTTTAAAAACAATCTTCAAAAAAAACTTTTATGAGTGGATGATCACAAACCAAATCATACAATTCCTATACCTGTGTTCACACATCATAATAATCTTTTTTGAGGTTAAGGATGGGAAGAGGAAGTAAAAAATGATTAAAACGCAGTATGTATACATACCAGTTTCCTGAAATGAATACAGTTATTATTATGGCAAAAATATACTGAAGGAAAGGTTTTTTCTCCCCCAATTCACAAAGGACATAAGCTAGGACAAGAGGTGACCACTGCCCTTTATGAACCTGTTAAAGAAAAGCTAATATAGTTAGAAAAGAATGTGGGAATTTAGCTTCAATTTTATCAGTCTAATAATATCAGTCTAATAATCTCTGCAAAAGTACAATTCACAGAAAGCTGCCAATTTATTACAGAAAAAATACAGAGATTCTCAGAGAGCCTCAAACAGAACAGGAGCTCCAATCACTCACCTTGTGCAGAGGGAGTACAAGGAAGGCTCCGCCTCCGCTCGCTTCTATGATTATGGCAACAAATCTGGGATTGACAGCACAAAAAGAACTGTCCCAGGTCACTCGAGAAACCCGGATATCATCATAGCACTGGTCATTTTTCACTGCTTGTCCAAATACATGCCGAAACTTGCTCTGCCGTACCACTCGCCGCATGGTGTCTGTAGAAGAGGGGCAAGAATTAAATTAGAATTAGAAGTCTAAAAAAAAAAAAAGAATTATGAGTCTAACCAAAAGCTTTACTTTTACAAACAAAAAGCTCTGAGTCAAAAAAGTAGAACAGTCTGGCATTTGTCTGCTCTTCTAAGAAGTAGCCAAAATGCAAATCCAAATTTCCTTTAGCAGCACATACCCAGAGAAAACTGTAAATGCGTCAGGGAAAAAATTACAACAAAATAAAAAAAAAAAAAAATCTCTTATTCAACATCCAAAAACATCTCATCAATTTTAATTTCAGGAGAAAGAGTAAAGCAAAGAATGAAGGAAAATTAGCTTTTCGGGGTTGGGTAGAAACTAACACATAATTCATTCCAATTCCTCTCCTTTCAAAGATAAGAAAACTCCAAAGTGAAATTATCTGATGCATTTGAAGCTGAAAAAAGTCCAAAAACAAGTTATAATTTTGTGCCTCTCTCTTCAGCCTGCCAAGGTAATTTTTCACTTTTTAAACATTTTGCCCGGCATCAGCACTGTGCTGTGTAAGAGCTGTGCCTGCTCCTCAATGTTTCTACAAGACTAACTATGGGCAGCAGTATGGAATTCAAGAGAAAGAAGCCACCACTCTGTTTTCAAGAATCTTCTAACCTACTTTTAAGACAGGCATAATTTTCAGAGCAACAGTACCAAACTCCCTAGTGCTAAGTGGCACATGGGTAAAAACAGGAAAAACCAGCCCAAGGCCACAGAATGGATCAAGAGCCAAGTCTTAGAAAAAGGAGAGGTATTTAAATGAGTAGGAGGAATAAAGTGATCAAAGCCCTCCTTAGGATGACAGTGAGTCAGACAGTAGCACATTAGAGGGATTAGACAGGAAGAAGCTAAAAGCCAGGTATGGGGCCAGGAAGCGGGACAGGAAAACAGGCCTGGAATGACATGGCCACTGGACAGAGGAAAGGAAAGCTCCAAGGACTACTTTGGAGGTGAAATGAAACCAGGATGGGTTTTCACATCAGAGGTGATCAATCACAGCCACTTCCAGTTAATCAGGAAATCCAAAGGGGCAGTGTGTGTGGCGAGAACTACCTAGGCTCCTGGGCTTCCTCACAGGCCACTTTCAATCAACTCCAAACCCACTCGGCTTGCCGACAGACATGTGCACTCAAAGTTAGGAGCTTTAGGATGCAGTTTTTCTATAGGACATTCTATTCAAACTTGTTAGCAGTTTTGAGCAACTATTTCCAAGATGATAATATGTAATCTATTAACAGGTGATTTCTTACTGTTATTTTTTTTTATAGTTCTGTATTACGTGTACCCTTAGACACAGCTTTGTTTTGTTTTGTGTTTTTCTTTTTCCTCTTAAATAAAATTTTAAAAAAAATGAAAACAAACAAACAAACAAACTTGTTAGCAGAAAAGAAGCTTAGACAAAACCTAAGTGGAACTGGAACATGATCAAACTTCGACAACTCCAATGCTGGGGCATGCGGCTGGGCTAAAGCAACAGACCCTTGGCAGGCAACTGTGTACCCATTTCTCAGCACAGCTGTGGCCAGAACTTTCCAGCTGACTATAGGCCCCTACATATTGAATGCTTAGTAAAGGAGGGGGCAAACTGCATGCTTACCTTTAGCCAGGTCCTTCATTTGTGTCACAGAAAGAGTTCTTCTAAAGCACGACTTAGATAAGACAGCTTCCATGAGATGGTGAAAGCCAAAAGGAAAGCCAAGGTAGAGCCAGCTGATCTCAGGATTCATCTCTCTACAACCATCTATACAAGTTACAGAAGCTGGAATCCCTACCAGCACCCTCCACAAATGTTTCAAAAATAAGTTAACAGCCAGGTACACTGGTGCAGGCCTATATTCCAAACGAAAGGCTGAGGCAAGGGGATCACTTGAGCTCAGGAGCTCAAGACAAACCGAACAACATAGTTAAGACTCAAGTTCAAAAAAACAGGTAAATTTACATAAAAGAAAAAACACTGCATCGTATCAAACAGTCAACATCCTTCAGCTGGGTAAGGTGGTACCTGCCTATAATCTAGAACTCTAGGATGCTAAGGCAGGAAGATCACATGTTGGACCCTCGTTAGTGATCCGAGACTCTCACGAAGAATAAAACCTGTGTAGAGTTCAATCTCTAGCACTATTTAAACATACACACAAACACGCATGAGAAAGTTTCACATTTATATAAAAAGTTCTTATAAATTCATACAACTAAATAAAACCCAAGAAAAAATTATATAAAAGACCAGAGGTAAGAGCAGATACAAATACCAATGGACAAGAGAATGGGAAAGGAGCCGGCAATAAGGCAAACATGACCGTTAACTCTTGGAAGATGGGAAGCTGTGATGCATGTGTACCTTACATCTTAGAAGCATGTTAAGAATGATATCAAGCCCTCTGTGAGTCCCCAGAACACTCAGTAGAGAAATTATATATAGCTAAAGAGGGATACAGAAGAGAGGTAAAAACAAAATGAACCGATTGTCTAAATTAATTACAAGCAGCTTTATAGATTTGTCTCCCCTGAGGGCTGCATGACCAGAGACTGGCCTGTTTCTTCTCAGCAGAAGCCCAGAGTGGCTGAACTGCACACTGAAAGTCAGTTCCCTACGCTGGAGTCGCCCATGCCCTGTTACTGCCACTCTTTCTCTAGGGGCCACAATACCATGCCCACCCACTGTAACCTGCAGAGATCAGACTTCACTGTGCTTGATGAGGGCCACTATCCCCACCCTTCTCCTTTTGGTCTTGGAGACTGAACCCAGGGCTTCACTCTAAGCTTTATCCCAGCCCTTATTTTTTATTTTGAAACAGGGTCTCATTAATTTGCTAAACTTTCCAGAATGCAGTCAAACTTATGATCGCCTCCTCAGCTTCCCATGGTGCTGGGATTATAGGTATGTACCACCATCCCTGTCTTATTTTTCAATCTGAATGGACGTTAGAAGAAAGCCTCTAACTTGAAAAAATAAAGACATTTCCTCCTTATTACAATAGCAATATACCATCTAACCACACAAAAATATAATGGTTTAAGTAAAATAAGTACAGCACCTTGTGTCCTTTGAAAGACGCACAATTCTGCTGGCTGACCTAACTAAAATACTTTAAAAAGTCATACCCACATTATGCATAATTACTTCTTTTCATGCTAACTACATCTGGGCGGAAAAACATAGAGCTGTTACAGTTTGTTTTTTGTTTTTCTTAATCATGGAGTAAAATGTCAGCTGCAGAGCAGAGTGAGGGGAAAAGCCAGTGTTTCCACAAAGCAGCACAGGGTCACACATCTTGAAATGGAATCTGAAGGGCCGTGTGAGCCCACTCATGAATCCTCGGTCAAACCTGACCTGGGCTCAGACATTCACATACAGGACAGCTGCTTTTGCTGGACAGACTTATCTCAGGCCCTTGAGGCACATAACAGAGAACAGCAATCAGGAGCCCCAGCTCCAGAGTCAGCCCTTTGAGTGAAAAGCACAGCTGCACCACTCCTTGGTCATAGTTCACTAGGGCAAGTTACTGAATCTGTATCAGATTCTGTGTCTCAAAGTAGGTACAATGCATATAAAGTTGAAGTGATTATTAAGTAAGCATTGGATTTGGGACATTAGCATCATTACAACGTTAGACACACAAAACTAATCATTCAATAAATGCCAACTACTAGCCGGGTGTGGTGGCTCGCGCCTGTAATCCAGCACTCAGGAGGCTGAGGCAGGAGGATTGTTTAGCGTTTGAGACTAACCTGGGCTACAAAGTGAGCTCAAGGCCTGCCTGAACTGCATAGCAAAACCCTGTCTCAAAAAGACAAAAAAAAAAAGCCAACTACTGTTTTTCTAGTGATTAACATAAAATAATCTGCATTCAAATCCTCCTCTATCACTTGTTACATATTACTTAATCTCACTGCATTTCCTCATCTATAAAATGTAGAATAAAGTAAGAATTTTAAAAATCCGGGTGTGGTAGCATACACCAGTAATTCCAGCACTTGGGAGGGGGGAGGAGGATGGCTGTGAGTTCAAGGCCAGCCTGGGCTACAAAGTAAATTCAAAGGCAGCCAAAAGACACACATACACACACAGATTAAGAACATAAACCAGTATCTGACAAAGAAAAAGAAATTTCAGGTCCCAACAGCTTCACCACTAAAGCCTATCAACCATTTAAATAAATAATGTTAATATTTCACAAAGTCTTCCAAAAATACAGCTGGGCATGGTGTCACACATTTGTAATTCCATGACTAGGGAGACTGAGGCAGAAGGATCACAAGTTTGAGGCCAACCTGGGCTACATAGTGACTTCAAGGACAGCCTAGTGAGATCCTATCTTAAAAAAAAAAAGAAGAAAAAGGTGTGAACATTACCAAACTAATGAGACCAGTATTACACTGATACCAAAACCAAACAAACATACCACAAGAGAACTGTAGAACATCTCTTATGAATATGAATGCAAGAATTTTCAAATGGTAGCAAATCAAATCCACCAACATATAAAGGAATCAAACACAAGCAGAGTCTATCCCAAGAATATAAGGTTGGATTAACATCTGAAAACCAATTAATATAACACGTATCAATAGAGTAGGAAACAACACTCAAGTGACCATCTCAGACACAGACAAAGCATCTGACAATAACATCCTCTCATAAAATACTCAACAAAAAGAGGACTAGGAGTTTCCTCAATCTAATAAAGGACATCCACAAAAATATCAGATCTAACACAATATTCACTGATGAATGACACTTCCTCCCTAAGACAAAGATGCCCACTCACGCCACCTTCTACTCCGAACTGTACTATGAGTTCTAGCCAGGGCAATCAGACAAGGAAAAAGGTTTTCCAACTGGAAAAAAGTAATATTGTCTTTATATACAGAAGATATGATCTTAGATTTAGAAAATTATAAGGAATCCACTAAAATGACTATTAGAAATAATAAATTCAGCAAAGTTGCAATATACAAGATCAACAGC